ACCTACAGTAGGCACATCTATTATGGCCCACCAACGCAGATTAACTTTAATCTCGGTTTAACTTACTCTCTGTTTTTTTCTAGTTTTAAAGATTAGAAAAAGACGAAGAGTGTATTGAACCGAGATTAAAGTTAATTTACATTGGTGAAAATGGGTATATTTAATCAAGATTGTGCGTTTATTGTAAAATACAATACTAGAGAGAGAAACCAGAAAGAGATGACACATGAATGTAACATTGAAAAACACCTTGACCTTAAACGATATAATAAATAAAAAACATTGACCCTAAATGATATAATAAATTTCTATGGTAATTAATATACCTAGATATTTTTTTATATTTTTATTTTTATGTCACGCAATATGCAAATGGATTATAACTTTGTTATATAGGTAATAATTATAGATAATTACTTATTACTTATTTTTTTGTATTGTATTATCCAATTTGTAATAATTATTTACATTCAAAATTAACTGTTCTTTATTATGTTGTTCAACAGTTTAGGAAACGTATCAAGATTCGTACAAAAATATAAAGATGTTTAGCATTCAAAATTCGATATGAGTATATAACCTGGGTATCCATACATTAATAAAAGAATTAAAAATTTGTAATAATTAATTAGAATTTAACATTATATTTCACTTTACTTTATATTTTAAAATATGTACGCATAAACATTTTACAAAGTTATTCTAATAAAAGGGTATTTTTTTCATATACGTATCATATAAATAATGATTTTATGTTTTAAACGTGTACTCGATCATGAACTTTATAAAGTTATCATAGAGGGGTGTTTTATATATCACATAAATAATGATTAACTTACATTATGCCCCATAAAAGGCGTAGTTCTTATACGCCTTTTAACATCCCGTTGGCAAAGTGTTGAGATTTGCGGATAATGCAGACGTTTGGACGAGAGACGCATTTAATTAAAAATGTACAGATCGTGTAAGCATTCTCACGAATCCTGTCACGCATTAGCAATTCGTTCACGTACAAAAATCGCAACAGACGTTAATTTTCCCTCTCTCACCCCGAAATTTCGCTCCAGATGCAGCAACTATTGCTCTTGCCCACCTTTCTTGAAACTCATTTAATGTGTTTCTTCCACGAAGCACCTCTTCTCCGCAGCCGGTTTGGGTTAAAGGGGAGAGAAGATCTGTTGCTTATATACTTACTTAAGAATCTCGAGGGCGAGCAGACATTTATGAATGTAATCATACAGTGGATTAAAAAATTAACGTAGTGAGTTGTTTCTAAATTGTTGTACAATTGCTGAAGAAATATATCGTGTATCTTTAAAATTTAATTCAACTATATTTAATTTTTAATATTTCTTGATTTATAATATACATGTTATATAATAATGTATATAT